TACATTTGGTTTTAGATTCTTAGGATTCATTTGCATTCATTTATGTTTGTGTATCCATCTGGTGAGAATTGTTATTGTTGTGTCTAGTCTAATATGTCTGGTTAGTTTTCATCCTTGTGTATAGCTGGTGGTGCTGAATCCCTCAATTTAATTAGATGGCCAGTTCTTTAATCATTATTTGAAAATCGACTCTGTTGGTATATGATAGGAGGTGGATGCTCTTTTCATTAAATCAATGGATTAAACATAAAAAATTCGGACGAAGAATGCCCAAAAAGAATTTTTATTGAAAAAACTATAAATACAAATGCAAGTTACAATTGGATATTTAATTGGAGAGGAAGCCATATCAGCCGGCTAGAGCCCAAATAACCTAAGAATAAACTAAATTCAGCTAGCAAGACATAACCTTAACCTTAGGAAAAACCCCCTACTTAAAGCAAACAATAAACGACAAATACCCGAACAACCCTCCCCTAATTTCCTCCCAAATGTGCCATATTGCATTAATTATTTCCCTCCTAAATCAGCCCTCAAATCTACCATCTTCAATTAGGAAATATCAAATCAGGCCCCAAATCTGTCCTCTTCAATTAGGAAACATAACATAATTAATCACCTCCAAATCAGCCCCCAAATTTTCCCTATTCAATTAGAAAATATTTCCTAATTAATCAGGCTTCTACAATTAGGAAATATTTCTTAATTATCTCCTCCAAATCAGCCCCCAAGAGTCGGTCCAGGAGGAACCCGATTTAAAAATACCCCCTTACAAAAAGCCACCTTGTTCGCAAGGTGGAAAAACGGCTCTCTCCTCAATTTCCTCATCATCACAAATAGTGAGAACCTGAAGAGTTCGGTCCTTAAACCTATGTCCCTTCTTCTGTAACTCTGTTTCTGTGAGTTTTTTAAAGTTTTCCCCATGTCTACAGTGTTCTTCTTCGAATCCTCTCTAAGAGAATCCGGTGTCGGCTCCTTGGATGCCAAAAAGGTTGTGGTCATGCCATTGTAAATGATTTAGATTTTTGGATTTTCAGTTTTGTAGTTGAACACGCCATCGTAAATGATATATCACATCGGAAGGTGAAAATATCACTCTAATGGTTTAGCTTAAAAAATTGAAAACTTCATTTTGACTATCTTAGTCAAACTTATGAGAGAATTACATATGACTTAAGAGTCCCAATGATATTCAATCGTGGGCTTGACTATGATAGTCTGGATACTTGATCATCAGTTATTATAATCGGATCGTCGCAATGAACCACATATGACCCCAAGAGGTCAAATTGATGTTCAATTACATATCTAACTACAATAGCTTATATATGTTTATCAATAATTTCATATTCAAATATCTCAATAAGGAATGATATATCTTTCCTAAAGATAGAAATACCATTTACTATTGAGTATTCTAAATATGATGATAATGATTGTCTTTGATTTTAATTTTTTTTTTTCAAAAGATTAAGTTTTCCTCATTCTATCTAGGGACTGAATATAATGAGGTTTAATTTATCTGGGTCTTAAATCTCCTATAAAGGATAACTTTTGTAGTTAATTACATTGCAGGAAGTTTGAGTTTTTTTTTTTGTCTTAAAAAATATAATGAATTTTCAAAGTTATTGGTTCAAAATGGATCCATCACCTTGAAAATTCAATTCATAATAATCCTGAGCATACCATGACTCAAGAAAATTATAGGTGTATAAATGCTCAAAAATCAACCACAAAAAAATTGAACTCAGTTTGACCACTAGATTTTGAGAAAAATGAAAAAATGGATTTCAAACAAGTGCAAATTTCTCAAAATTCAGTGGTCAAAACTTGCTGAAATTAATTTCAAAAAATAATAGGCTTCAAGACCTTCCTAATGAGACCAAAACACTCAATATGGTGGAGATTTAATTTTTTTTTGTAATTATTTTAAGTTCTTGCATTTAAATTGATTTTTTAAATCAATTTAATAAAAAATGATGGTTGGGACGTTGGGGGCAACATGTGGCACACATGGCGACTCGGCGGCATTCGTTGGACGTGTGATGCGTTGTGGTTAGTCCACTTGCCATGTCAGTGCGTTATCTGCGCCATCTGATCCGCGCGGATTGGCCGGATGGCCAGGATCACGTCACGTTAGCTAGTCTGGGTCAAGCGCGATGCACATTCAAATTAGGTCAGATGCGCCGTTTTGTTCAGCGCAATCTGCAACGTTCGAACGTGCTAGAAATTTTAGTTCAAAATGAACTAGAATTTCAAATGGCCATAACTTTCAAAATACTAGTCTAAATTTGATGAAATTTGAAATATAAGCTCTAATCACCTTAATCTTTTAATGCATGAAGCTTGGAATCTCCATGCCTTGAAATTTTAGAGCAGTTTCAAAATGAATTCAAACTTAAAATGAGGATAACTCATCAATCATTGGATGGGTTTTCTCAAACTTGGGCTTGTTTTGTTCCTATAAAAGTCCTCTTCAACTTTGTAGAAGACCCCAAGAGCTGGTTTGTATTGGATTGAAAGATAACTTTAGATTATCCTTTTTCTCCTATTTTCTCTCTTTCCTCTCAAACAAGAGCCTTGGAAGCTAGGGAATGGGGGGAAATGCTTGGGAAAGGTAGAGAGAGTTCTGAAGAAGTAGAGGAAGGAGAGTTTTGGGTTGGATGAGGCTTGGAGAATGAGATAGGTTGGAATGAGAGTTTTCATGTCTTTTGCCCATTTCGAGCTCTTGGCTTTGTTTAGATGGCTAGAATTAATCAGAGATCCCCCTTGGATGCCCAACACCTGTCACAGGTGGTTAGAGGGCAGAGGTAAAGGCTGCATGCTTGGGAGTTATTTGGGTTTGTCTTTTCTTGGGGAGGGGACCACATTCTACCACTTTTGGCTAAGCCATGGCTTGGGCTGAGTTTGTGAGCTGTTTTGAGAGGCTTTAGGGTTAATTTGAAGCATCCATGCATGTTGGTTTGGAGGGAAATGAAGTGCATGAAGGGATTTGCCCATATGAGCTTATTTAAGCTCATGGTTGACTTTTTAACCAGTCAAATGATCAATACTGACTAGGATGCGAGTTGGGAGAGGTCATGCATGCTGTTGGAATAATTTTCAAGAGGTTTGAAGCAATGGTTTGGATGTTTGAGTGAAAGGTTGACTACATGCATGGGTTTAACCACTTTAAATGAGTTAACCAAGTCAAACCAATGGGGATTTGAGTCATTTGACTCATGAAGGTGTTGAGCATGTTTAGAGTATGTAATAAAATGGTTTTGGAAGTTTGGTTTGGCTTGAGTTGAAATTTGGCTCAAGAAAAGCCCCTCTTAACCAATTGTTTTGAGTGTGGCTAGCCCAACTGGACCCAAGGGCTGAGTCCTCTATGGAAGGTTCCTAGGATCCCAATGGACCATCCCAAGGGTTCAATTTGGTTTGAAAATGCATAGGGCATTGAATTTGGCCTAGGTTGAGTGTAGGGTTGGTTTGGTCAACTATGGTTGACTTGGTCAATCAGGTTTGACCAAGGGTTGCTTACACTCAACCAATTCAAAATGATATTTTGAACCTAAGGAGACGATCCCTTGCGATGGTGAGGTTTTTTTTTGCATTAAATGCATGTTTTAGTGTTTGAGGGGTATTTTGATCAGCCATGATTGACTTGATAAACCAGGTTTAATTTGTGTATTTGATAAAAGAAAATAGAAAATACCAAGATACAATTGATCCTCTATTCGAGAGGAGGATCTATCTCTCCCAAATCTCTAGATGTCACTAGAGCCCAAGAAAAAGTCTAAGTGATCTCAAATTTCAGTCAAATTCAAGATGCCCTAACCCTAGGAAAACAAATTATTTAATGCATACAAATCAAAAAGGAAATCCCTAAACAGCCCCTACATTCAAATTTCCTTTCTAACTCACTCAAAAATCCTTTCTAAACAGCTCACGCACGCCGTGCGTTTCGTGCGTACATGAGGTGGAGAAGTCCGCCTCTGTTCGCATAAGCTTAAGCTGGTCCCGTCGGACCGGCTGAACCGGTCTAACAATTTGTCAAGATCGTTAGGTTTCACTTGAGATTTTTAAGTGTTTCCTATCTGATTCCTTGAGTTATGAGCTGCTGGTACTCTCATCTTAAATGAGATATTTATACATTTATGTTTTCCATTGCATCTACCATGAGAAGTGTATTGTGTACGCGAAGTTGATGTAAGAATTATGAAACCAAAAGGGAGATCGTTAGACACACCAGCTCTAAAAAATTTTATAAAAAAATTTTTCAACTAAAAAACTTAAGCTTATGACTGAGGGTCAAACAATTAGCTTTTAAACACCAATATAAATTTTCAATTATCTGGTGTTAGACTAAATTAATACTCTCATGTATTTTAACTATCCCCCCTCACATGAGAGCTGTTCAGATCTATCATCACCCCTTTCAAATGAAAGATTTTAATATCATCAAGTATCATTCACTAATAGAGCGCACTCAATTATATGGAGATATAGTGGGAGTCATTGTAGAATCTTGCTCAACTTGGCACTTGCTATGACCCATGGAATCCATAAATTGCACGAATCACTTGTTTCCTGTTTGGCTGTCAGCTCTGATACTATTTTTTTAATGAGTATGGAATCAAATGGGACTAAAGTTGAGCTAGGTACTCTTGTGGTCAAATCTATTTTCAACCCCACCAATTTGAGCTTATAATTAGTGGCCGGTCATTTGGTTTTTCAAAACCAACATATTTTTTAACTAGTCACCATGGGACTAAATCAAATATTCTTAGGTGCTTTAATAGTTACATAAGTACAGGATATTTAAAAAAAAACAGCATTGAAAACGCTTCACTTGGTTTGTATTAAGTGTTTTATGCTTCCTAATGCTTAACATTCTATTAATGATTTTGTTTTCTTAACTATGGCCTTCTCTTAAAATATTTTTATTTTAATAGAGGGTTCAATATCCTTTACAATGCTTTAGCCAATTTATCTGATATATTTTTGTCAATATTAAGGCATATTGCCTGTACAGGCAAAACAAGCTGCAAGACGCACTGGAATCGTTAAACAATCTAGAAAGAAGTTTGATGGTTTTACAGTTGGAGTCTCAAATTCTTTATCGATTAGGGAAAATGGATGCTTGCATGCAAAATTATGAGAAGCTACAGAAACTCAAGATCGATTCCTTGGATGTAAAATCAAATATTATTGCCACTTTGGTATCAGCTGGAAGATCTAATGAAATACAGGGAATGATGGATGCTCTGAAAGTTAAAGCGTCCAGTAGCTTTGAGCTAGCATACAACGCTGCTTGTTCTCTTATTGAGAAGAAAAAATATGCAGAAGCCGAACAACAACTACTATCAGCTCGAAGGTAATAACTTTTATTAATTCGCAAAGAGATCAAACTATTCTTGATGTGTCAACGTTTGTGGGTTAAGAAAGTAGCTAATAAAGGGTTATAGTTTACTGTGAGAAGATATACTAAGTTATTATAACAAAACTGCCTTGTATCATATTATAAAAATGATTGTCAAGTAACTGGGATTATTGTTAGTCAGAAACTAGTTCGATGGTTAACTGTTCTATTTGGTTTATATTAGATATTCTGTTTTTAGATTTTTCATCCGTACCATTTTATCTGCCTATGCATATGTTTGCATGGAAGTATATTCATTTTTTGGCTTTACGACGTATTTGCAACCATTGATTTTGGACCTATATATATTTTATTTTATTCACATTAATCTGAATATTGCTGTTATAATAAGCTGACAACTCCAAGTTATAATTCCTCTTCCTATATTCCAGAATTGGTCAGGAAATGCTAATGGATGAGGATTATGCCGATGAAGAGATAGAATCAGAGCTAGCTCCAATATCTGTACAGCTCGCATATATCCAGCAGGTATTTATGAGTTAATATGATTTTGAACTTTCTGATGTTGGGATTGAAAATAATTCTTCCTTCTGTTATTATGTCTTAGTTACTTGGAAAAAAGCAGGAAGCAATTGAAGCTTATATGGGTATAATTAGCCGCAACTTGGCCGATGCTTCATCACTTGCTATTGCTACAAATAATCTCATCGCATTGAGAGGCACAAAAGATGCTTCGGATAGTTTGCGGAAACTTGACAAATTAATAGAGAAGGATGATGGCTCAAAGTTCTTTAAACTTGCTAGTGGTCTTGATTTTAAATTGTCGCACAGGCAAAGAGAGTCCTTATATTCTAATCGCTTGTTTCTACTTCTTCAGACAAATAAGATGGATCAGGTCAGGCTTTATTGTTATTATTATTATTTTTTCAAATAATAATTTCCCTGTTTGTAATGCTGTGGAAGCTAGAATTTGACGGTCTTTAAAATGAACAAAATAACCCCCCTACTAGTTGCAATTTTATTTTTTGCACTAAATTAAATTAAAAAAGCCATAAGTGTATTAAAATATTATTAAAATTTTGAAATTCATAATTTTTTATTTCAATTTACTAATTAAAACAGGTTGAAATGATGCAAACTGTACAATAAAAAAAAAAAAGTAAACATTTTATACATACTGAATCTGTTTTATAAATATTATACTTTTGATTATGGCCCTAATACCATCTGCAAAATAGATAGATTGATACTTTGATTGCTTGAGGTATAACTCATACAAGCATATAAATTACTTCCTCTTACAAAACTCATAACACTTTCGGCCTTTAAGATTTGAGGTTCCCCTTTAGCTTGAAATAAATGTCTGAGCCTGTGAAACATCAATCTCAAAAGACAATTGAAGTTATATTAAAAAAAAAAACTTTAGGTGCTTAGGTATGCATCATTAGAACCATCTTTTGATTTCATTGTCAAGTTGCTGGAGGATCATCTTAATTAGCTTTTTGATGGTGCTTCCAAGATGAAATTTTATAATTCGTGGTTAAATGCTATAATTTTATTATTTTTCTGTTTCTTTTAAATCGATTTGTTTAATTCAGATTGGAGATCTTTAAAATGCATGTGCTTGATTTTTCTGTGGTGCATAATGGGGTTGTGTGTCGGTTTTTCTAATAAAAAAATTTCAAGCTCTTTGCGAATAACAAATTTATAAACTTTAAGCAGAGCTAAATGTTCTATATGTTTTTTTCTGGTTTCAGCCACATATGTAACAGTGGTTTATTTCACAGGCTCAAGAACTCGTATCTGCGCTTCCAGAAATGTTCCCTGATAGTTTGACTCCTATTCTTCTCCAAGCTGCTGTGCTGGTGAAAGAGAAGAAAGTTTCAAAAGCTGAGGAGATACTCGGACAATTTGCAGAAAAATTCCCTGAAAAATCGAAGCCCTTCCTGCTTGTTCGAGCTCAAATTTCTGCCGCTGCTGGCCATTTGCAGGTTGCTGCTGACTCCTTATCTATGATACATGATATCCGACATATGCCTGCGACTGTTGCGACAATTGTTTCGTTGAAAGAGCGCCTTAATGATATCAATGGTGCTGCTGCTGTTTTGGACTCTGCTGTCCAATGGTGGAAGGATGCAATGACGGAAGATAATAAGCTCAGTGTGATCATGCCGGAGGCTGCATCCTTTAAACTCAATCACGGGCATGAAAGAGAGGCCTTTAAACTGTACGAAGAGCTTGTGAAGGATCATGGAAACAACACGGAAGCTTTGGTGGGATTGGTTAAGACTGCTGCACGCACTGACATTGGGAAGGCCGAGTCATACGAGAAGCAGATGAGGGAATTACGAGGTCTCAAGGGAATCAATGTGGAAGTCCTGGAGAAGAGTTGTGGAGCAAAGCATGTGGAAGGGATAAATGTGGGTAAGGTGGAAGCATTGGAGGAAGTGAAGAAAGCCAAATCAAAGAAGAGAAAGAGGAAGCCGAGGTATCCAAAGGGCTTTGATCCTGCAAACCCAGGGCCACCTCCAGACCCAGAGAGATGGCTGCCCAAGAGAGAGAGATCGAGTTATAGGCCGAAGAGGAAGGATAAGAGAGGTGGTCAGGTGAAGGGTTCACAGGGAGCTGTTGTTCGTGAGAAACATCATGATGTTTCTGTTTCAATTGCGCCTAATCTGAAGTCCAGTCAGGGTTCTTCTTCCAAAGGCGCTGCAAGTTCAGAGCAGCCTACTAAAGCTTTCTCCAAGTCCAGAAAGAAAAATAGGTCGTAAGAATCCATTCCATTCCGTGGGATCGCACAATCTAGATTTATTTTTCTTATTTCTTAGCTCTTTAGAACCTTCGTTGTGGTTTAATTTTTGTTAGGCCCTGCTTTTCCAGAAAGTTTGGGCTGTTCAGGTAACATTTCTTACCAATTTTCTAATGAAGTTCCTGCCTGTGGTGGGGTTTTCTCAATATAATATTGACGGTTAAAGATTGCTCCGGTTTCTTATAACATAACAAATAATAAAATTTTAATGGAGCGAGCATATCTTACATATAAATATAGAATGGTCGGTGGCATTTCTTGGAAAATGAGATTCAGGAGGTAGCATTTCTTGGAGGCATAGGGCAGTGCATGCCTTCACTTTATAAACTTTGCCTGCTTCAAAATTGGTTCATATTTTATCGATGCATATCCGTCCATTGATATATATCCTAAGCCTATTCGGTATTACGATGTATGTATGACTATTAATTTAAAGAAAATTTTCTTCTACTATTATTGAGAAGAAGATGGGTAATTGTTCTTTCAGTTGGACAATTTTTTCCCCCTCTACACGAATTTAATAAGAAATATAGTATAGCTACAGACAAATTTGCTATTGTTATCTAGTGCTTTTTTTTACATAAAATCTTTTTTTACAAATAAGTAAAGCTGCTCAAACAAATCTTTTTAGACTATCTTAAATTAAAAACAGATTTTTACGACTATTAAATTTAGTTTTAAGAACATAATATATACCTAACCAACAAAAATTTATATTACATTCATCTTAAAATATATCCATAAACTCAATTCTTTGCCTCCTTTCTTTTTCCTATTTTGAGCAAATATTCATAAAGATAAATGAGAAATTTTCGCTGCAAAATATTCCACCATTTGCCATAGTAATAATAATATGGGAACATTTTCATATCCAATAATAAATGGTACAATGATTGAATCAGAGAAAATTCGATTTAAAATATCCTGGCTTAAATTTGATCAAAATAAATTTTATAATCATCAAGTTTGATTTAATATAACTGTAATAAATAACAAAATTTATATTACACTAATATCAAAATAAATGTAATAGATATAATCAATATAATGTTTTTTTTTTTTTCCTAGTGAATCCTACTAATAACAAAAAAAAAAAATTTTTTTTTTTTTTTGAAACAATTTTAAGGAAGAAAAGCGAAAAGAAGAAGAAGAAGAAGAAGAGTAGTTGGATCGTGAAATGTAAATTTTTATAATCTGAGCTTAGTTCTCCACACGCTTCCAACAACCTTTCCAGGAGAAGGATCATGTGGGCCCCTGTCTCGCTGTCCAGATGTGAAATATAGCCAACCATTCCAGAAACCGGCCAAGGTCGTCTTCATTCTGAAAGGCATCCTCCCGATCACACTCCATTTCTGCCCATCATCATCAAATACAATTTACAGAACAAATTAAAATAAAATGCTGCTCTTTATAAAAATATCACCTTAGCATAAAAAAAAAAAAAAAAAAACAAAAAAAAAAAAAAAAAAAAAGAAGAGGCATCATATTTATATTCATTAATTTACTTCCCTCATTTTAGTTGGAAGTGCTTGCTGAATAATGGGCAACATACCAAATCATTGGTAAAGAATTATCAATCCATCTTATAGAGCTTGTTGTATGTAAGGGACCCTTTCCAAATTGTCCATAATTCAAATATGTTTTGATAGTTTGTTGAATTATGGGTTTTGCTCAAGCCAGGTCTTATTTTTTGACCTACTCGACGAGGCTGCTTACCTATGATGGCATGGTAGTCCTTATTTTTTTTTTTTCAAGATAAAATTCATAACACCATTGACAGATTTTTTTTGTGACACAAGCGTAGCTAGAATTTGATGACTTAATAGGCTAAACAACAATAGATGGCATAGAAGTTATTGATTTATGATTTTTACATAAAATTCATGAGATTATGACCTTTGGACTTAGTAATTAGGGTCAACCTAGCTTTTGATAACTTAACCGAATGAATCCTAACATATGGCAAGAAAATTGTTGATTTGTGAGTTTTTAGCTACACAGTTCTGGCACCTTAACCTTTGGGTATTGCGAACCCAGACTCCATATTAGGTGCAAAATTATAACAGATGGCATGAAAGTCATTGAGTTACAACTTTCAACATGGAAATTGTGATATCATGGCCTTCGCACTTTTATAAACCAAACCCAACTCAATGTTGATGAATTGATTAGTTAAACCAAAATAAATGGCATGAATATCTTTGAATTATGATTTAATAGATTCCTAGCAAGAAGGAAGCGACATTGTAGCCTTCAATAAAAAAACGCAACTCATTCTTGAAAACTTATTGAACTAAATAAAAAAAGATGACATAAAAGTCAATTATTTATAATCTCCGACATAAGAGCCAATGATTTTTACTTGCTGGCATTAAAGTCAGGGATCCATGGCTTTTGGATTTTGTAAATGAAGACCTAGCCAACATGATCAGCAAAACAAGAAAAAAATTGCATGAAAGTCATTGGTTTATAGTTTTAGAGATGGAAACCATGGTCTTATTGCTTTTGGGCTTTTGTAACACAAACCAAGCTTGAAATTGTATGTTAAACCAGAAAAGATGGCTTGAAAGCTATTAATTTACATTTTTCATGATGGGAGACATGACATAGTGAACTTTGAATTGGTAATATAAACCTCACTCGATAGTAATGACCCAGTCGAATTTCACAACTAAACATAATATTGTGAGGAAACATCCAGTGATTTGAAGCATCAATCGTTCACACTTCTAATTAATGAACTTTTAGGATCCACCTTCATAAACTTTCCATCACGAAAGGCCCTCCCCAATTTAGCTTGGAGTTTCTCCTACGCTATGGTGGGACATGATTGATTGTCGAAGGACCAAGATGAGATCTCCAACTTTAAGAGCATTAGGAACATGAGTGCTACTTCCACCTTAGATCAGATCCACACTACATTATTCTATTTTTAGCTTCAAGTTATTCTGATACGCCTTGGTATCAAAAACAGCCAACGAACAAGAGAAATTCAACACAAAACATATTTTTTTTATTGCTAGGAAATTAAATAACAAAAACAAGATGCAATAGTCCTTTTTCAAGAGGAGAGCCTTCTCTCCCAAACCGTAGATGCCACTAGGATCCCTCACAAGAGAAAACTACAAAATTCAAGACAAAATTCTGCATAAACCTAAAATAAACCCTACTATGGACTTAAATAAGCTTCTTCCCTCCGTCCAAAATCAGCCTCCTCCTAATATGTTTCCCTCCTTAATTTGAAAAATAATTCAATTAGCAAAGGTTTCAGTGAGGAAAGAAAATCACTTTCCTAATTGATTTTCTCCTAATATAATTTAGGAAACATTCCTAAACAATTAAACATGATTTAGGAAACCTTCCTAAACAATATTAATATAAATAGAAAACCTTTCTAAACAATTCTCCCTTAATTAGGAACCTTCTAAATATCTTCTCAAGGGCTCCACAAGATGGGGTCCCCCATGCGTATCGTATTCCCTCCATTCATTGTCAAAGTCAATCAGACATATTTCATATGCAATAGATGAGACACTTCATAGAACATTTTTAAGATGTCATGCAAGATCAGATGATGCGAAAATAATCTTAGTTTACTATTATCATATGATGAATCTATTTTTATGTTGATTTGTCCATTGACATGGAAATTGGATTGCTTTGAGCTTAAAAGCCTTTTTCATAGAATGATACTTTTAGAACCAAGCATGATAGGTAAAGTCAAACAAAAGGGGAAATTTTAATCCTTCATTGATCTTAAAGCGAACTTTTGAAGCATAGAATCGACACAATAAAGAAGGATAAGATATAAAGCTTGCTATCATAAACAAAAATTAAATATATAACAATAAACTCATACCAACGTGTTTAAGTGGAATTGGAATACTTCACCGACCAATATCATCTTTTTTGTCATAGGATATTTCTGGGTCGTACCACCAATAACAATTATAGAGTCGTTGACAACCACCCACGAAAATTCTATATGAGAATTAGGTTTAGGCATTGGAGGTAGTTCCTTCCATTCCTTCCCGTCATCCAGCATGTAAACATCGCCATATACCACCTGTTCCAAGAAATTCATGGGGTTTAAACCCTAAACCCTAGAAATTCATGCGTACAATTAACAAAAGATGTTAGACGAACTAAGCACACAAACTTAGTCAAGTAATTTATGTCAATTAGTTGGCATACCACATTGCTGACTACAAAATTCAAGCATGATGATATTTTGTTCATGAGGTCAAAAGTAGAGGTCATTTGAAAAAGATAAGCATGTGTCTCAAATTAACAATGCATGACAACATTGTTCTTAACAGGTGGAATAAACATGCCACCTGAAAGTGAGTTAAGAGCTGAAGAAGCGTCCATCAAATTCTCTCAAGCAAAACAACTGGCAGTCTTTTTTCACTGAAAAAAGGCAATTCATTATCAATATTAGCCAAATGTCGACTATTTGAATTGCTATAATTTATCAAGCCAATTACATGAGTTCGTGCACTCCATATATAGTCCTCTGATTTGTTTTAGGAGTGGCCCTCAATTAAGTGAAGTAAGGGTTGGAGGTGTATTGATCTAATTAGAATGAAAGTTTTATATCTCAAGATATTGTGTGTTTGATAAGAGAACTTCATAATGGAAAGCTAATAGATCTTTTTCTATTTTTGATATCCTATTTCTAAACCAATGGTAGTTCAAGATGACGTTGCTCATCCTTCTGCTTGCAAGGTGGCTTAAGGTTCCACTTATGAGAAAAGTTTATGGAAGTCTGATGGACAAGATACAAATTCAAAGAGGGAACAAATTATACCACCGTGAAAACAATAGTGTAGCGGTGAAATACAAAAGCAACAAAAATGCATCAAATTCCACCGGCCAAAGCATCACAACAACAGTACAAGTCGGAGGTAATCCAAAATATGAACAACAATGTACATCGAGAGAGGTAATCCACGAAATAAAGAAGTAAGACCACAAGCAAAAGCAATTTATGTAGCATCTATCAGAATATGCAAGTTTCCATCTATACCTCACGGCGTCTAGAACACTTGAAAATAGGAGATCCAGGCTTAGCCATAAAATCACCCTCTTGCCCGCCAATAATAAATAGTTGATCCTTAGCAACAACACAGGACCTGGTTGAACGACAAACTTTATCAACATATGATATCAAGATACAAACTCGTTTCATGCTTTGGGCAATTCAAGGACAAACCAACTAAGTCATTTTGTAGCCAGATTTAATTGTACCCGTTTTACACTTTCCAGGTCCAGTGTAGTATTACCGGGTTCAAGATTCAATAAGCATAAAAAATATCAATGACACAAAAACTAAGAAAAGAACAATTTTAAGACGTTGTATCAGTTAGAAATGCAAAGTAATGCAAAGCAAAGGTTAAAACAACACAAATAACCAACAAACCTATGTGGACCACCACGTGGTATTGATATCTCAGTTTGCCATTCTTGTTCTAGCGGCTTTCCATCTTTTACTGCCAGACTCCAATGATCCAAGCCAGGAGTATAACGGTTCTCCTTACTACCACCCATAACATGGAGCCTTCCCCTCCAAAGTTGAGTGGCTGGAGCATACCTGAAAATGATGGCATCATAAAATAAAAGTGTGCTGCATAATCAATAGTAACTATTTACAGGGTTGGCCATTTCTGACTATTTGACAAAAAGGCTCTTGAGGACATTATTATTTGCAAAAACAGAGCAATCTTTTAGTGAAAAAGTAAGTGCCATGATGCTATAGAACTTCTTCAAATAGTGACTATTTACTTGAAGAAAGACTGCACCATTTATCATAAAATGATGCAGCATAAGACTTTCATGTAACCAATCCAATTTTCATATGACAAATACCTTGGGGCTGGTAAAGAGGGCAAATCATGCCATTTTTTTGTCTCTGTGTCTAGTACAAAGCAGCGAGCTGTAGGCACTCTACATTGTGGACCATGTTGACCGGTGACAGCATAAACGTATCGACCATCTGCAGCCATTCCTAAGTGAGAGTTAGCCATTTCTTTGGGCATATCGAATCTATCACACCATTTATTGTCCGTGAAATTAAATATGTCCACGTGAGAATGCACCTAAAATAAAGAAAGAGGTTGAGTTAATATCAGTATATTCTATTTGGTGACGACATTATGAATTGCCAATAATCATGGAAAAGTATAGAATTGTCCTTTATCAGCAGGCAGGCATTTTGAAGCATTATGGAAGACCACGGAAAACCATAGAACTTCAATTTGTTTAAAGATGCTTTAAAGCAGCTGACAGTGTAGTTGTAATAAGAAGATTAGATAGCTTAAGTTGAATGGAGGGCACTCTCGAAAGTGAAAATTGGGTTGCAGTGCCAGCAATTTGATTTCAAAATTAAGAAAGTTAATTAATAGATAAGAATTTTAATGGGATCACTTTCTCTAACAAAAGGGGCATATACAAGAATTCAATTTGCCTTTTTACATATCATTCATCACACAATTTGGTTTAGTTGACATGTATAATGCCGAGGTTCAGGTTTGCAGTCATGAAAAGACAATCAGTATAATTGTGACAATATTTTATTTTTGAATCACCGTGGAGTAAGGATAATTATAATTTCTATTTAGTTTGTAGTTCGAGGGCAGGCCTGTAGAAGTTTAAGTTGTTTTTAATGTATTTTTTAAGTCCTAAGCTGGAATTATGGAGATAGCCTCTACAAATGCAGAACACCCTGAACAAGTAAGGTTTCCTACATGAATCCCACCCCCACCCCATCCCGCACCCCACAGCCGACCTTGCATTGACAGGATCTCTATGCACTTGGGTACGACCTTTATTTAGATTGTAATTTAGAACAGTTGAATCATTATTGTGGTGGTAGGAATAGATACTCATGCACCCATATTAGACCTTTATATAGGACCGCACCAAGACCATATTCATGAACCACACTTACCCTTTTTTCTTTTAATAGGCTCTATACGGACCCCTTTATCTTAATATTGAGATATTCAAAAAGAGTCATTAACATTATAAGACTTCAAATGTACATGTTAACTTCTCCCTTTAACTGTGTTATTTTGGATGTAGCACTTTTTATTTGGAAGAAAATAAATTTGCTCGGCCATTGATGTGACATTTTTTCAAGTGTGAAGCACGAATCGAACATATCAGACTACGCCATGTCAATCTAATCTATTTTCTATCACTTTTAATTATACTCTTCCCTTTTGTTTCATCGTCCTACCTTTCCAACTTTTTGCAGTATGCGTTGTTCTTAATTTTGTTCACAATTTGGGACATATGATTAATGATTGACAACCCTTCCATTACTAGTGATCTATCTCCAAGAATTCATGAGGAATATATGATATGATAGCCCCACGTGATACCCTTACGATTCACCGATTCATTGATAGGAGTCATAAGGAGCTGGAGACTGATGGAGTTTTAATTAAGGAGTCGGCGCAATTGATTCATGTGATTCAAGGGGAGTTATAAGGAGTACACTGATTAGGAGTCATAAGAGACGACTGATTAAGAGTCATAAGTGCAGGAGCAAGATACCCTCATTTGAATATCTGATAAAATATTGATTATTGATTACAGATTACTGATACTAATTATTGTTGATTATTGATTATTGACACTGATTACTGGATACAGACACTAATTTCTATTACGAATTACTCATACTTATACTATTGTATAACTAATAGACTGATGAGAATGATTGAATAATATGACTGAATGAAATTGATTAAACGATAAAGATATAATGATTGATTAATACATATAACTGGTATAGATAACAGGCATTGATTCATAAATTTTTGTATATGATTTATTACAGCATACTGTTTTTCTTTCGCCTTGCATTGATTTTAGTTGTAAGATTTTAATTATTTGTAGGGTTTTTATCCTCATTATGTCATTTATACATATTTATAAGTAAATGTAAGGACCTTGTGACATGAGGCACTGACAACATGTTTTGTTTTCTTTTTGCAGTGCTAGTTTAGTTTTCTTTTAGTTCCTCTGATTTATGTGTAGTCTTTTTAGTCAATGTGGCTATTGTACATATGATTTTGGGATTTGATGTAGCATGTAAATATCGATTATAGTAATGTGAATTATGTTTTCTGTTGTTTATATTTATTTAATGCAATTAATCAGCTCTGGATATCAAATTGATCTGGTTGAAAATGACTATTGACTGTTACTGAAAAATATAAGACAAAAATAGATAAATGAAAAAAGAAAAATCAAATAAATTATTTCACTTTAAATCATGGGGCGTGACATACCCAACTAGGAATAAATGATAATTTCTAACTGTAAAATTAGTGTTTTCTACCATTCCAGTCTGCTAATCCCGTAGTGTTTCCATTTGCATCTAAAGCAATTGCTAGTTATCTTGCATCTAGTTTCTTCCTTGTTTATTTTCATATTAACATGAATCGCATTAAACACGCATGATCTCACATCTATGTTGAAACAACACACTGATACTAGTTGATTTCATTTTGAGGTGTCAAAACCCAGCTATGAAATATGAGCCACTACCCTAGGAACATTACATGGTTGATTTATTAATGGGTCCAATCATTGGTCCTATTTAAAATAACACTTTTATATTATTTTAATTTAATCATCTTACAAGCTATATGGTTGTCAACCCCCACATAGTCGGATAAAGACTTGATGCTGTTATTGTTGCATGCAATATGGTTGCATGGCTTCATTTCTTATGTTAATTAGATCATGATACCTTCCAGCATATATTAGTACATTATTATAGAAATAAAATATCAAGTAAGTTCATTTAAAGGCCTGCACTCTTGAAGCATGATATTTCACATCATCATAAGATTATTACAACGGAAACCAAAAAGATTCTTACATAGTCTATGGTACCATATCCAGCAAAAACGTAGAGAAGATTTTTAATTTGTACAGCAGCTCCATCCAGACGAAGGGCAGGTGCTGATGGCATCTCTTCCCATTCTAAATGTGGTGCTTCTAAGTCAGCAAACGTTGCATTAAGGTACTTTGGAGGTGCCATATGGTCTAACTTGTTTTTTGTCTTTGACTGCAACACAAGAAAAGAAAAAAGAAGCATATATTTGTTACCAGATTGATCAAAATGCTGACAATACCGAATCTTAAAAATAAAAGAAAGTCATATCTGCTATAGCATGTCATAAAAAAACCATTAATAGTTCAAGTGTGCCTTACTCTTCTTGGCTGGACTCACCTATGTGGAGCCAACCTGATGACTAGAATTCCGCAATGGAAGTGAAACAAGAGGCAGTTACACTTTGATCAGGACTAAAGAGACACCGAGTGAGATAGGAAAGAGGAGCAATAGAAACATATCCACATCAAGAAATTAGCATGAAATGAACTATATCAATAGGAATCAATTCATTACCATTGAAGCAAGAAGTAAACAAATTCCATCATTTCCCTGGAAGCACATCCTTGGTACACTGATATTACTCTGTATAATTTTACTTTGGTAATCCAAATGTAGGGGTGACATTCTGTTGTTTCAACTGGGCATTTAACATAACATATTAATATCTATTGCAACAGTGTTCTAACCCAGTTTGATAATATTGGTGTAATGGAATTTATATATAATTTTTTCATTCTTCATATGTCTGTGAGTATTTGTGAGTGCGTGAATGTCAAAAATCTATTCTGAGGCGGATTCCAGAGGTTTGTGTGCATGAAACCAAAAACCTAAATTTTTTCCCTTGGGAGTGACATGGCGCCATGCTCTCTAATTTTTAGAAAAATTAAAGAAAGCTGCGATGTTGGGTTAGGCGTTGCAGCGTCGGCTATCTTTTGAGGGAGCACTGCGATGTCGCTGTCTGAAGTATTGCAGTGCCAAGTCAAATTTTTATTTAAAAAAAAATCAAAATCCACTTAAATTCTTATTTGGCCAACCCCCCTAGGTGGCTGTCGTTTTAGAGAGAGTGAGAGATTCTAGAGAGAAAGTTGATTTCAATCCATTTTCAACTCTTGGCCTAGTTCATAAAATTCTGTGGAACAAGATAAGTTACATTATATCTCAGTTTTTAAGAATATGAAAATTTTGAGATTTTTTTGAAAAAAATTGTAATTTTGTATTGTAAAAATAGAGATAACTTTGTATTTACTAAACTTTTATCATGTAACTTTTTGTATATTATAGATACAAGTATTATGAACATTTTGGTATTTTCTTTAGAAATTTTTGTTAGTTGAATTGAAAAGTGTGTTATTTCTAACAAATTAAAAAATAATTCTAACCTCAGAAAAAAAATTGTAGAACAATTAAATATTCAAAACAAAGTTCTAAACAATTCCTGATAATATGGTGAAATTTTTAAATCATGAAATTATGCCCGGTTGTTAAAATTATGGGCTACTAGTATAGCATTTTGTGAATTCCTTTTTTGTTATTTATAATTCTTTTATAAAAATGCAATTATAAACATGCTTATCTGCTAAAAATATATGATTCTGAGGAGTCCTAGATGCTAGAGGAAGTTCTGTTGTGTTGAATTCACTAGGAGCTATAAGGGCCTAGATTTCTAAATATCTGATGTGCTAAGCATTTGAGAGTTATAAGGATTGTTTTCTAATATGCTAGCACAAAGGGTCATAAGGGCCTGGATTCTATTATCTATTTCTAATGGGAGGTATAAGAACCTGGGGAAAATCTATTATTTTTCGCTCAATTAATGCAAAGTCTATTTAATTCATGTTATATGCCAGTATTACCTTGATCAATATAATAATTTGTTAATAGCTACTTTTAATTTAGTATATGCATAATGAGTTAATTATTAAAAATTTAGAATGGTGGATATGATCTGTTGAGTTGTGTTAGCTCATATCTATTATGTATTATGTTTCAGGCCAAGGAAATGGTAAGGAGCTAATTGAGTAGATGAGATTGCAAATTCTAATCTTTTGAGTATGTATAGATATTTTCTAGTTTTTTGGTTTTCTGTTTTTTATGCAGTTATGGCTATTATCTACTTCGTTATGTTCTAGTCTATAGCCATATATTATAATGCAAAGATTTTTGTTGAATATATATTGTGAAGAAATAAAAAGAAGAAAATTTGTGGATAACTATATTTGTATTTTTTAGAAGTAAATTAGTAGCTATGTTGTATGTTAACATTTGAAAGAAATCTAAAAAGTTCTCCAAAACTCAATCTTGGGGCTTGGTCTATCACCAACCAATACGATATGGTCGTCCTATCTGTGGGTTATATTGGATTGGGTCGTGAAATTTAAGTCATCTTTTCCATGATTACTCCCTCGCGTGGAGAGCCTAAACTTGGACCTTATTGTCTATCTATGCCCAATATTGTCTAAGGAGTTGCAACCATGGCTGTCAAAGTTTTTTAGACATGAAAGCTTAAAAATAAGCTAGTAGATGATTTATGATGAAAGAGGCTTCATAGGTGTTATGTGTGGAATCTGATTGTATTGATCAATCAGATTGTTTTGTTGCCTCAGACCTCAAGTTTATCGTGCTCGATGGGGGGTGCGGGGGTTTACCCTAAGTTTTTATTTCATGTACAACGTCCCGGCACTGTGTATCCGAGCGGCCCAACGTTGTGCTCCCAAGAACCCCAGCGCTGAACGACAAAGAGTAGAGCACGACAATGGTATAGAAAAGGTGCTGCAATGGTGCAAGACACAGGCTTCAGCGCCGCAGCGCCCCAAACAGGCGTCACGGCGCTACGAGACGGATTGGACGTCTGGACGATTTTTTTTTCTCGTTTTTCAGAAAGGTTGAGTCCCTTGGGGTTTTTTTACTTGTCTTTCTCTTGTATTTTTGTAGAGTGTAGACATTGAGAATGGTGCATGTGAGAAGAGAAGCAATGAGAGAGTGAGAGAGTGAGAGAGAAGAGAGATATGTACTTAATTTTCCCAATTTTCATAGTGGATTTCTTGGTGTGGTGTGCCTCCATGATTTTTTTCCCTATTTTGGATTTTTTCACATTGGGTCCTGGTGTCCTTTACTTTTCCGCTACTTTTACTTTCTTGCTTGTTTCGTCATTGTGGTGTTTACTCCTCATCTCTCAAACAACAGGTTTTGCTCAATTTAGTAGGGTTAAAGAAAGTTTTGGCATATGCTTTGTTTATTCTAATGCTACATTTCAAATCTTTGTTGGTGATGCATCTTATTGGATTTTTCCTCACGTAGTGGGATAAAGGTTTGATGATGTTGTTGTATCTTATTGAATATCTATTTGATAAATAAAAGGGAGGAAATTTTTCTTTGCATGTTGGCTTGAAATTTGTTACATCCTACTGATTTGTAGTTGTACTCGCAAGCACACAAACACAATGCTACAATTTAAGTTGATTGTCACTAAAATCAATAATTCTAAAGATGAGAAACAAATATCAGTAACACAACATAGAAGAGGCATGATAAATAATTTAAATATCACAAGAATATGATAAGCAATTTCATTATCACAAAGCATATAAGGCACGTAAAGGTATTAATGACAAGACTTCATGAAAAGTTTTGTAGCTATTTATGACTTGTTAATCTGTGGTAATGACAAGGTATAGCCTGAATAATTATTGTTCAATCCTGAAAAATCGGTACCAGCGTCTCCCTTCAAACACTCATCTACAATGCCCATGGTACCAGCTTAAAGAACAAACAACTAATTTTAGTCATTTGATCCTTCTTATTTACCCTAATGACTGAAAATAAGAATTTCAAAGCACCCAGCAGTTATCATTAATGCAAGCTTCAATATTAAAACGAAGGAAAACCTTGCATTAGTATTAAATTCACTAGAGAGCAAACAAACTTTCACAAATGCCAACCTACACACGCAATCCACAAGTTAATTGGATCAAGTATGCCAAACAATAAAAACAAAATTGAAATGATAAAAATTGATTAAAAAAACTCAATTGTTGCCCATTTCACAAATAAGCCGTCCCAATAAGTCTAAAAAACATAAATAGCCAAAAAAAACCCGTCACTTGAGTACTCATGAGAGAAAAAAATTCACAAGAGAAACTTCACAAACTCTCATTTTTTCAGTTAACAATAATATCAAAAGAGAAAAATAAATTATAAATAATTAAAATTTTATTATTTTCTAAATATATATTATTAAGAAAAAAACATATTAATATATATATATATATATATATATATTATCTAGTTATTATTTTAATTATTATTATTATTATTAAAATCGAAAGGTAGGGCATGAATTATACCCCTTGCTTCTAGAAGTTAGGGATGCTAAATGTAACAATCTGAATTTTTGAAAATAATTAGAAATAGAAAAATATGAATTTTTGTTTGAACTATAGCGCAGATGAGAGAAAGGGAGAAAGCCGATTTTTAGGGACCGAGTCACTTTACCATTTTTGTAGAAATTGCTTAGATCATTTAAGTAATTCCAATCCTATTTATGTTTTCAAATATGTTGATTTTTACTGTTTGATTCTCCCCAAAACTAATTTTATTACATTTTCCCCATATTTATTGAACTTTTACCGTACAACTTTTCGTATGTCATCATATTGATTATCCTGGATATTTTAACTGTAACATTTATTAAATTTCACCAGGTAAAATAAAAATTATTGTATTTTGTATTGTTTCTACTAATTGAATAACTATATTTTTATTATAAGCATACTGTTAGTACAAGCATTAGAAATGAATGTTAATATATGGTTAAGTAATAGATTATCGTTATTATTGTTATACTATCGTGATAATAGTATGTATGAGGAGAGTAAAAATTGGTTTCACTAACGTTGGCTGGAAACTGACTGACTTGTACATAATGGTGGGCCGACTGACTTTCTTTTAAATATCGTAGCTTAGTGTTATCATATTGATTCACGTGATACTAATTGAGAGTTATAAGAAGTTATTACTATGCCGATGGTCAAAAAGTGACGACTTTATTTACTGAGCAAATGGGATATTGATACGGATTACTACTTACTTAAAAACTATCAATTAAGCCAGAACTTCTTACTTGTTTAGTGACTTAGTGTGACTACTAAAATGCATGTTATTGAGACGTTATTCTTATTATTATATGAATTTATTATTATTGCACGAATTTAGTGTTATTACATTATTTGTTGCTCCAACCACTGATTTTACAATTACCTATACAGACATCGATATTGTTCGATACTACTATTGATTCACTATACTGATTAATGATATTGATCATGCGATATATTGAGCATGTGATTAAGATATTGATTTGATACTGATATACAATAACTAGATAGCATGTGTACATCATTATAGGGTTTTACAGTATTGATATAATTCTGACAGTTTTTATCGATGCTTTGATTTTACCATTTTATACCATTTTTTTATTGATTAATAGCACTGATAAGACGATTAATTTAGTGATTTGACATCCGTATTGGTTTACTTATTTCTTCATTATAATGCTTTATTGGTTGTCGTACCGTATTGTTTTATTGGTTATAGACTTTATTGTTACTGCACATGCGTTTTACTATTTCTATATTAATTCATGATCATATAAATGTTACTGTTATAATTTGACTACTGATGCATATTACTCTTTTGTCGTACTTTGAGTTCAATTATAACATTTGGTTACTTGATGGACTCCTTAGCTCATTAATGTGGTTAAATAATTTCAAGTCTGGGCAAGGGACTGTTCACTCAGGAAAAGATGAGATTACGGCACGAACCTTGTTTTCACAAGCTTTAGGTCCTATTTTTCCTGAGGTAGATTGAATTTTAAATTAACCAGATTTTCCTTGATGATTGACATTGGGGTTTATTTAGTTTTGGGGTTCTACTTCCTATTAGTGCAAGCCTCATAGTTAATTACCCCTCATAACGCGTAGAAGATAACTCTCAATTAAGGATGAATCAATGCTTAAATGTGCAACAGTTATAAATTTTGGTTGTGGGGGATAAAGGTAGACCCGATCAAGATCCCATAGTTCTGTTATCACGGGAATACCATATATTTTAGTCTACCAACACTGATAATTGTTAATTGTAATGTCAAGGGAACCTGATCAATAACCATGGGTTGCCTCCTCTCAAGATTCCCAAGTAAACTAAAGTTGATAGGTTTGCGTTTTAATTTTATTATGATTTAGAGTTTACATATGCTAGAATACCAAGTATTTATTATAGTTTTGGATTTATGACTTCATTTAGAAGTTACTCAATCGTTTGATTTAGATTTGGGGTCGAGGCTTATATTTTTATTAAAAATAGCCCGTGTAGTGGGTCTTACAGCTTTCCTTGGAAGTAACCCGTATAATGGGTCTTACACCTTCACTCAAAAGTAGCCCACATAGGTTTAAGATGTTTGGAGAAGTGAGACTTACTACTTCTATTAAAAGTAGCCCGTAGGGTTTAAAACGTTGGGTCTTACTATTTTAATTGAAAGTAGCCCGTAAGGTTGAAAGGTTGGGTCTTACTATTTCATTAAAAGTAGCCCATAAGTTTGAAATGTTGGGTCTTACAGTTTTCATTAAAAGTAGCTCGTGCAGTTAGTTTTACGGCCTCAATTAGAGGTAGCCAAAGTTATCAGAGATGTGTTATTCATTCTGGGAAAGTTTTTCCTGACACCCTGATTAAAGTGGGACTTACGGCCTCAATTAGAAGCTTCCCCTAGTTTGTTTGGAATGGGGTTGATTACTCCCCTTTGGAGGATTTGTTGTTCCCCTTGGGAGGTTTTATTCATTAATTTAACTAGGATTTACCCTTGTTTAGCTAGTAGTTGTGTATTAAGATAGCTTTAAAGTAGTTACACACCCTACCACCTGACACCAGTGCTTTCTACTTAGCTTTTAGTAGTTTACTGTAATATTGTTTGTAGTAGTGCTTTAAGCTTTCCTACTTCAGTAGCTAATATTTTGCTTTAGTACCCCTGTTTTAGCTTCAGTGCCTTATTTATAACACTATGTTTCGTCTACAATTCTAATTTTCTTTAGCACTAGTTCTACCTATAGTAGTAGCTATACCTACTTGTTTGTTCTTTTTAGCACTAGTTTTGTTCTTTCCATTACTAGTTTGTTTACCCTCTGCTGACCTTCGTCTACTTATTTACAGGCATTTGTGACTAGCAGTTGTAGGAGCTGGAACTTGCAGCTGCAAGGTTTACCAGGAGGAGCTGGAGCTTGCCAAAGCTGACGGTGGGTTTAGGTTTGTTATAAGTTTTGGAGTTTTCTTTCAATTTTAGTGTTTCCTTAGTTTTAGGCGTTTGGTGTAAGTTGGTGTGCATTTTACTTAGGTTGTATAGTATGAATATTTCTCTGTGTTTTCTTGTTTTATCAAAAATACAAAATTCATCAAAGTGGTTCTCCTCTTAGTATGAAATTTCTTTCTTAATTTAGTTTAATTTAGAGTTTAAATTTTAAATTAAAATTAACTGCTCAGCTCGTAAATCATTTTTAAATTTTAAATTTTAAAATTATTTTAAAATAATTTAATTAATTTGATTAGATAATTTATTATTTGAGGCAAGCAATAGATTGTTAGCAAGAAAATTTATTATTTGATTTAGGGTAAAAATTTCAGTATTCACCTGGTTATCATGATTAGAGGCAATCAATATAGTTAAAGTTGTGTCAACAAAAGTTGTACAAATGAGTGTTTAGCAAGAACAAGTTGGTCAAATAAAAATTTTATAATTATTTTTTATTTTCTAATTATGCAAATATTCATATTTGTTGCAATTTCATTTATAATTATGCATATTTGTTACAATTGTAGTGTTACTGTAATTTTATAAAATATAATTTTTTTTTATTACAGATGGCTTCAGATGACGAGCCTCCTCGTATATCCATTACAACAACATTTAGTCATGGTAGGCAGAAGTTAAGCACTGGACCAACTAGGTCTAGATATGGTGATCAAGGTCAGGGGCAAACAGTTTCACCAGTGACAAGAGTGTCATCACTACCACGGGGGAACCAGCATCAGTCCTTTACTGAGCAGTGTCAGGGACAAACAGATCCACCTTTGGTTGGAGTACTACCCTATGCTAGGTATTTCTTGACTCCTACTTCCACTAGTCCTCGATTTCCATCTCTAGATCAGACACACTCGGCTCTCTTATATCCATCAACAACATCACAAACAGGTCCATCAACCTACCCCTATCCTCCTTACCATCACTCATATTATTATTCACCTCTTGTGCAGTAAGAACAGAGTGGATCATCAACAGAAGCAGAGGTTGGGCCTGAGGAGCCCGTAACAATAAAGGATAAGCATGTTTACATAGAGCATGTGGGCGATATGTCTATGTAAGTTCATTTTATTTTGTAAAATTATTGTAATTTGATATGTTATGTAATTGAGAAAAAAATGTACCTGCAGCTTTAACCTCGCAATGCAGATCACACATAAGATTCGTGACATAATACAGAGCAAATATGATGTTATTTATTTATCGTGGAAGAAAATTTCAAATGAAGTTAGGGATATGTGATTAAGATAATTTCAGGTATGTTTATTTGACATTACTTAATATTTGTGATTACATTTGTATTAATATTATTTATTATGTCAATATTTTATAAAAATATTTTAGGTGATTGCTTGAGCATGGTTCGAGGATCATAATCAATTTTGAGAAAAGAGGCTTTATTCATCTTAAGGACATGTTGGCGATGGGGTGTGAGTTGATTTGACCAAAGTTTGGGTGAACCCTGTGTTCATCAAAATGAGAAAGCAAAACAAGAAGAATAGAGCATCTAACTGTGGAGGTTTATGAAGCTCTTTTCATACGGGTGGTTCGGTGCCTCATACTAAACATAGACGACGACCGGCAAAAGCTTGCAAGAAAATTTGAAACATGTAAAATAGAATTCAAACAAAGCTCAAAGTTAATTCAAATGGTTTGAATCTTAATAAAAAGGGATAGATATCCATAAGAAATTTTAACATCAAAATCTTCAGATGAGAGAGCATAGGAAGAGAATAGGTGAGTACGCCTTCTCATGTGATTTGAAGCTCTTAAGTTGACAATCTAGGAACCCTAGCATCCCTTAGTACAGTTAAGACCAACAAAAAAATACCTTTTTGGTTAATATGTTACTTCTTATTTTATTATTTATTTTATTAGAATGTTGAGGTGTCATTTTATAATATATTAATTGGTTATGATGCTAATATATTACTTTATACCTTCATCTTAATTTTACACTATTTTTTATTGTGAGGCATTCAACTCAAAATGCCTTGGCTTATACCTCTCCTCACAAACAAAAAAACCATTAATACCTAATTACGCAATTTTAAACCTTGGTTACTAGAACGATATGCTCATATGTTAAAGCCAAAAGCATCTTCACAATTGAGAGTTTGGTTCGAGAAGAAAGTATTGGATAAGAAAGTAGAGGAGCTTGACACTCGTTGTTATCTGAGACTTATAACTTGCGACCAATTGAGAAGATGCAGGCCTTTCGGCATGCTTTTAGGTTACTAGGGCTAGTACCTTTCGAACATCCATCTTTAACTCACCCATCATTGATTCGATGATTCCTCATTTCTAGCTAGGCTCCTACTACTTCAGTTTTCAAACTATATGAGTAAATCGCGCTTTGACTACATAGTAAATGAGCCCTTCTAAGTTATAAGAAGTGCATTCATATTTAAAAGAAAATTTTCAAATCTTGTCTCAATACTCCCGTAAATACATATATTATATAGAGGTTCAATTTTATCGATTGTACAAAGATTTAAAAAAATCAATCAAATAATTTAAAATTCAAAACTCCAACCGACAATTGAAATAATATTTTAAAAACCAAACCAAATCAACCAAAAAAACTCAGCTCGATTTGATTTTTCATTTTTTACCTAATACAAAACCCTAATATCTCAATAGAAGATAATTATCATTGACATCTTCTACATACAACACACCTTAAGGAATATTGGATATAAAACTATTTGTGGGTAGCACCATAACAATAGTAACAAAACATAGATCAAAACTATCAAAGAAAGAAAAAGCTAGAGAGAAACTACGAGGATCTTATTAGAATTGTGCCATAAGATGATGTAATATGAGTCAGACAAAATGCGCTAGAATTTCCCAAGTTAATCATTTAATCCCTTATTTATAGGTTTTAGTCAAAGTTTAGCACTACAAGAATGGTTATATTTAAATAATATCAGGAAAATTACATAGCAAACCTTTTGTTGTGAAATGAATGTCTATCTAGCTAACAATTGTCTTGGAATTTGACAACTTGCCATGAGTTTCAGGTTAAGAATGAGTTCTAAGGGAATGTGAATTCTCTAGCAAGGGAGTTCATTCTAATTGGGTGAATAGTTTGGTGAATTTGACGACCGCAATTGTCAAAACTTATTGACGAGTATTTTATTTCCCCTGACAACTTCAACATAAAGACAAGTGGATCTAGGCGACTAGATGATAATGATTCTTTGGGCAACTTTAAAATGGTGGCGCTTGCTAAAACAAGTTCATGTAAAAAAAATAATAATAACTTGATTGGCTTGGCCCAAGGGCTTAAAAAAAGGAAGAAAAAGATCAACTCCCGTTATGAATGCTAGGAAGATCAGAAGTTGAACGTGAATTTAGAACCAAGAGCTGATTGTGAATGGAAAATAGAGGAACCACGTTCAAAATCAGATTTCTCGATCCTAATCATTGTATTTGTATTTATAAGCCTAAAAAGAGTTCGCATCTACGAGAAAAAATAAGAGGATAATATTTAGTGTAGTTTCAGATAACTCAAGAGGATAATATTGAGTGTCGTTTCAGATAACTCAATAGAGAAATGTAATAAAGAAAAATAGGTCCGCGAGAAGATCAAGTCCATCGTTATCCATGCATAATATTCTCAACAGATGCAACAAATGTTAAATAGAAATCTCCAATATCCCATTCTTTTCCATGAAAAACAAAACTGCATTAATTTCTGCGTCAAATCAAATTGGAAAAGATCCCAGCAATTCACCTTACCTTCTTGCCGAAACCAACGGCGTTCTGGATCGCCGTAGGCAACTCGAAAAAGGGGTGCAACGATGACATCGGAGACGATGACCTCCATAGGTTGTCGCCAACAAAACCGATGCCAAACAGCATGATACAGGATAAGACAACAGAGAGCCTCCAAGGCATGTGCTTCCTGCCTAACCTCTCCATTTCAGCCTGACACGAGAGCGAACGCCGGAAGAGGGGAAAATGTAGAGAGATAGAGATAGAGAGAGAGAGAGAGCCGATCGAAGGGACGGCGAGCAAATGGTTGGCTGGGGAAGAGAACCTTTCATAGTTGAGGTGGAAAGGGAACGAAAGAAATATGGTGTACGAGGTCCGCCTACGGTTTAGGAGAAGTTTGCTCTTGGTAATGGTACAAGTCCCGGAAATGGCGGGCAAAGCGAAGGCTATTTGGACCAAGGAAAATCAGCGTGTTTGTAGTTTTCGTTAATTTGCGGTTTGCCGACAAAGAGCCGCAGTTTTCGTATCGGGTTCCAAATATTATTAATTAGGTGATGTAGAGATACTTTAATTGTTTAATAAAATATTGACAGGTTGAATATTTCACAGAATTTTAAGTCAAGTGCACTCAAACAATGCTATCAAAGCACAGTTAAAGTGCTGTCAAAACACAGTTCATGTGACAAATTTTAATCGGATATCCAATTCTATTGTTAGGGTTTAGGGTCCGGACCTAATAATTTTCACAAAAAAAATGGAGTTATTATTCTGTACGGGCACAGGACAGGAGAACCGTCCAGCAGTACCGAGGGATATCGAGTGCGGGTACCGAGCTGGGTACCTAGCAATGGGGTGAAGTGACATTTTTTTTATTGGTTTCCGGATGCCCTCCTGAAATTATTGTTCGAACACCGGATGTCGTTCAGAGCCCAATGAAAATGTGCCACATCACATCCTATTCGGCACTGAACAGTACCAAGCAGTACATAGCTCATTACTGCTCAGTACTGCTTGGTACTGCTTAGTACTGAACTCAATACTGCACAGTATCAAGCTCGGTATTGCTCGGTACTGAATAACGTGGCTGAACCTGATTGGTCTCTGAACGATAAGTTGTGTCCAGTATCTGAACCCAATAAATTTCCCAAAAAAAAAAAAAAATTCCTGTGTTATAAAAGCTTAAAGCAATTTTTTTATAAGAACAGTAAGATATTGAGGCATAATTATTCAGTCACCATTTTTACTACATGTAGTTTATTCATAAAAAAAATAGTTACATAATTTATTGATCAATATTTTTTGTTAAAATGGATCTTAAAAAAAATATATCATTGTTTTTTTATAAAAAATAAGACCTAACAATTTCCTAATTTAACATGCAAGGATATGCTTTAAACTTTGTTTGGAATAATAATCATATTAATTTTCACAATAACTTTCTTATAATTTTTTTTTACTATGGCAACAATATCATATCACATGCCCAAACGGAGATCGCTCCCAAATGGCTTTCTTTCCCTCGACCCAAACTGTCTGCTTCGTTTTCCCCATTGCTCATCTCTTGCAACTCACAACCTCGAGTATGGCTTTCGTTTTTCTTTTTGGTCCTCTCTCATAATGTTATTTGCATTCTTAATTTTGATATTACAGCTTCTATTGGCTCCAATAATGAAACGACAAACAAAACTATAATAATGTATTTTAAAATTTCAGATGAGATGGCAGGCCGTCAGGAAATTAACGGCCGGAAAATTGATTGTCAGAAAATCGCAAAAAATTGATCGTAAAAAAATTATACCGGTAATGAGTGATTTTCATGTAGTGTTTAATTTACCCCCCTGCACGAATAAAATTTCTTGCTCCGCCACTGACAATGCAATTGGGATAATCATTATAACTATTGCATCATTAGTTGCACAATTAACTGGGTTCTAATCTAAATACTACCATAATTTGAAGAATTAGGTTTTATGTTGTTGTTGTAGGTACATTAATAAAATGTTATTTCCGTTTTAACCTTAAAATGAAACATCATAAAATTACACTTCCACAAACTCATAACAATAAATGATTGTACAGGTGTAAATAAGTCAAGTTGATTTTGTGTCACCTCTTGTTTTAAGAGCTTGAACTTAATTATATGAGTTTTAATCATGCCAAAAGTCGATTCATTTATTATGAAAGAGAGAAAATATTTATGATTCAATTAGTTATTACAATGACATGATAAAAAGATTAAATATTTAGAAGAGACAATAAAAATCTTGATATCAGAAAGTGTGATATTATTTTTAATTATTTTGACAACTTTGTACTCAATTCTTTTGAGTACTAATATGTTAAGTGTAATTTATATTAATATTTTTAAATAAGTCGGTTGGTCAATAAACAAGTCAAATAGAAATTGACTCACATTTAACTCATTAGCTCATCAAAATTGACCCATGAGCCATTTACCAAAATTACCTTGAAGGGGCGTAATAATTGGCTTGACTCACCTACCGCTCTAACTGAAAGGGGTTATGGCCTGCCAAGGGTATATTTGAATTAAGCTTCTGTAGCCCAAATGTCTCGAGTCTCAACAGAGCATGTTTAAATTATGAATTCATAATTCCGCCGATCAAGCATCTAGATTCGCGCTATTTACCGAGGGTTTGCGATAAAGCCGTGTTCTTTCGCAATTTTGCCCATCATTTCGTGGCAGTTCTTCCCTCTGGTCGAAGGATACCGCGGCCACGAAGCTGGTTTGCTGCTGCTACGAAAAAACCCTTTTACGGTTGCTATCGACACATCGCTTCTCCTCGGCGTCTCTGATAATTGCATCTTCGGGTAGATCCTCATACTCAACCCTATAATCGTGTTCGCTTTCCCAATCTATATCCCCGGGCCTGCTTGGTTTCCGCTTTCCCGATTTATGTATTGAGGTCTTACACCGGGGTCTAATTGCCCGCTTTTCTTCCATATGTTTCCCACGATATATATTGATTGTGGTGAATTTCACGGGGCTTAACTTATAGATTCGCTCCGAATTGATTTTTTAGGTTTCCTTGTTTCCAATTTTCATACCTTGTTTCTAGAGTTTAAATGGCTGCCGGTCGTCACGGTGCCTACCGAGATGACGAGCTTAGGGATAGAGATTCTGATTTAGAGATTACAGCGAGGAAGGATTATTACCAGGAGCGCTTTCGCGAAGGGGACGGCGAACGGGTACGGAGAGATCTAAAGGATAGGGTTAGGGTTAGGGAGAAGGAAGCCTTGAACGGTTCTTATCGCTCTCCCCTGTCAAGCAACTCTTTCGTCGCTGGTAAGGCTAGTAATCGGCTTTCTAGAAGGTCTGCAGACCGTGAGCCAGGCGAGCTGTCTAGCGGAAGTGGGTCGGATGACCCTGATGTGCCTCCTTACAGGGGCACAGTTAACGGCGTGGAGAAACCGGAAGACGGTGATGTGTCAGCTGTTCGAAAGAGAAAATTCTCTCCAATCATATGGAACAGAGATGATGATAGGAGGTCATCTACTGGTAATTCCAGGAGCAGGAGTGATCTTGTGCATCCAGTTTCACTTCCTCCACCACCTCCATTGCTACGTGGGCACATGTTGTCCAGACCAGTGGAGGTAGTGCGGCAGTTGCCAGACCAGGCCTTACAATTGTCTGTAGAAGTTTTTGTAGATTCACCGCAAGATCAGAACGATGAAATCAATGTTTTGAGGCCTGGTCAGGTGGAGGATCATGAGGATGACATTGCTCCAGCACGTCACATCTCCACTTCCCGGTGGGCAGACAGAAACAATGCCATGGAAGATGATGAAGCTAAGGTATTTGGCGAGGAATTTGTGAGGAAAAAGAAGAAAAGTACCCCTTTAACTGTATCAGGGGAACAATACCAATTACTGAAAAAGTTGCAAAGCCCTGAGATTGGTGAGGTGAGGGAATGTTCTGAAGGGGCTGATTCTCAGTCTTATAATAGTTCCAGTGGTCGCAGTGGGGATGATGAACAAAACATTGGGTCTCAGAGCAATGACTCTATGGATATTGATGTGGAAGAGGTTAAAGATGATGCTAGTGTTCATATTTTGGACTCTGATCATGAGAATTTCAGTGGTGAGGCTAAGACACCGGAGCCAATGCAACCACCTCAAAGAAGCATAAACATGCTGCAAGGATGTAGAAGTGTTGATGAATTTGAAAGGTTGAACAAGATCGATGAAGGCACTTATGGAGTTGTCTACAGAGCAAGGGACAAAATGACTGGGGAAATTGTGGCGTTGAAAAAGGTGAAGATGGAGAAGGAGAGGGAGGGCTTCCCATTGACATCTCTTAGGGAAATTAATATTTTGTTATCTTTTCACCATCCATCTATTGTAGATGTAAAGGAAGTTGTTGTTGGAAGCAGCCTTGATAGTATCTTCATGGTTATGGAGTATATGGAGCATGATCTCAAAGGCTTGATGGAGACAATGAAGCAGCCATTTAGCCAGAGTGAGGTCAAGTGCTTAATGTTGCAGCTTTTGTCTGGAGTGAAGTACTTGCATGATAACTGGGTTCTTCATAGGTATAACCTTCTGTCTACAGTTCAAGCGTAGTTTTCTGTATGTATATATTTCAAATTTAAGCTTGTGGGCAATTGAGTTAGTTGCATTTGTTGTTACCTGCCAGGGATCTAAAGACATCAAATCTCTTATTAAACAATCGCGGTGAGTTGAAAATATGTGATTTTGGTTTAGCTCGTCAATATGGGAGTCCTTTGAAGCCTTATACTCACTTGGTCGTGACTTTGTGGTACAGGTTGTTTAAAATATATTTTTTTTCTTTTACTTTTAGTTGTTTATTTTCCAAAATGTATTTGAAGGCAGCCACTGCCATACTTATTTTCCATGTTAACTTTCATTTTATGTGGTATTTTGAAGCTTACCATACTTTTCAATGTGGCAGAGCGCCAGAACTTCTCCTAGGTACAAAACAGTATTCAACTGCAATTGACATGTGGTCGCTAGGATGCATAATGGCTGAATTTTTGGCAAAGGAGCCGTTATTCAATGGGAAGACCGAGTTTGATCAACTTGATAAGGTAGAGTCATATGCATCAAAGACATTTATTTACTTGTTTGAAATTTTCTATTATTGTCATGACTGTCGCAAATATTTCTTCTAGATATTTAGAACCCTTGGCACTCCAAATGAGAAGATATGGCCAGGGTTTGCAAAGTTACCAGGTGTCAAAGTAAACTTTGTTAGGCAGCCGTAAGTATCTTTTCTTTCTTCTCTGTGTTTTGACGCTGATATGTATTTATTTTTGCTAATTGTATTGATTGTTTTTGACTGCAAAGTCTTATTGTCAATGACCTTTTGTCAGGCATTCAGCAAGGGGTGAACTTGCTCGAGTATCCTGGCTTGTCTTGGTGGAATCTTTTGTTAGGTGATGCATAATCCAGTTTGTTTTGACCACTCAGTTGTTTGTTTTTAATTCAGGTATAATAGGCTGCGCGAGAAGTTTCCGCCCACTTCATTTTCTGGGCGTCCCACTCTTTCGGAGGCTGGTTTTGACTTACTGAATAAACTTCTGACTTATGACCCTGAGAAGGTAAATACGTTAGCAAAGAGCTGGCTGATAAGCTGAATTATATCTTTGGTGGGTAACCGTTACCTTTTAATGAGTTGACCATGCCTTGACTTTTCTACTGCAGCGCATCACTGCTGAAGATGCTCTCAACCATGATTGGTTTCGTGAGGTTCCTCTTCCTAAAGAGAAGGATTTCATGCCAACATTTCCTGCCCAGCATGCCCAAGACAGGTTATTTAGAAATGATTCTCTGAAACTGCAAGATAAGCTTTGACTTAAATATTGTTCCCTCCCATAGTCAATCTTTTGAAGTACTTATTAAATGCTATATTTAGGCGCTTGCGAAGAATAATGAAGAGTCCTGATCCATTGGAGGAGCAGCGAAGGAAGGAATTGCAACAGGGGGAGCAGGTCTCTACTGGGCTATTTGGTTAAGAATAGTGAAAGCGTAGCCAGTAAACTGTTGCATATCAATGCTTCTTGTCCTGATTTGGAAGTATTCATAGGGATATATTACTTTGAGGTGAGAGACGCGTTGCAAGTAAAGTTCTGCAGCTTGTGTTAGTGTCGGGTGACAATTTAATACTGTTCTTCAGCAGGCACCCGTGATGATATTGGTGGACTTAAAATATAGTTTTATCCACCAAACGATTTTGTTGCAGGCATTTTTGCTCTTGTCAGCAATGATCATAAACAGTTCGTCCTTTATGCAGCCTGGATCACAAGGTGTGGCATATTGGTTTTTATTTTATTCAGTCAGATCTGGTTGAAAGTTCTTGTAACAAATCTCTCATCTCTTATTGATACCTTGTAAACAATGCTTTGAAAGCTTGGATTCTAATGCTAAGATTTATGGCTGTTCTATTCATATTATACGTGCACTCCTTTTTGATTTTCATGTTGTTCTTGCAAGAGATGATTTGTGTGAAGTGGAGAGGGCATAACTCACTCTTCAGTGCCAAAGAATCTGAAGGTTTCCTTCGATTTTTGAGGTAACTCATTCAGTGATACTTAACTCTTTCACATGGATTTATTCCATGTCATATTGATGTGCTTTTGAATCAAATTGATTTCTTTTACTCTTTGACTCTGTATGAGTATTGTAGTTCCGATGCCTGCTAAATTAACACCAACGAAGCCTGCTAAAATTTAAATAACTGATATAACTGGGCTTTTATAACCTACAAATATTTTGTCATCTAAATTGAATTGCTTGTTATCTATGTTTTATGAGCTGGTATTGCTCTTTAGACTATTTTGGTGAAATTCCGAGGTCCGAGAAGGATCTTGTTGATTGACCCCGCTGACTGACATTTGTTTTTTTAAAGCTTCTGGAAACTATATTATATTCATGTCGCATGAAGCATTCAGTTGGTATGCATGAAGGGATGTTTTTGTGTTAGAGAGTGCTGTATTTCATTCCTGCTTATCAGGTGTATAATTTTGTACCTTATTAACATATTTTGCATTATAAAGGCCGTGAGATAATGAAGTACAGTTAAAAAATAGATTGGAAGAAGGTTGAAAAATTACATTTGATAAGATGGGACTCGCTTATCCAAAACTATGGGGACTCAGTTTTTCATCTATTTTATTGGGGAATCACTCACCCAAACAAAATGAATTTCTCACTACCACATGTGTAAATTATCTACTTAACTCTCACATATCCATGCCCTTTATGGCATTACAAATAAACTCCTGGACAATTAAATAGTTGGTGGTTGGGAAATATAATTCGCTGTGGTGGTTGGAGGGTGGTAGTGATGGCTGAGAAGTGAAGAACTATTAACTTCCAATGGCTACTTCATCATTTTTTCCTTTCATGTAAGAAACATAATCTTGAGTTTGATCTTTGATGAAATCCCCTCTCAATCGTTTTTGATCGATGTTTATGAAAATGTTCCAGCCAAGGCACAATAAGGCATACTTTACATGAAAAGAATGAATCAATTGCTATAATGGAGAGATTATGCCAAATAAACTGTGTAGTTACTCAACCAAAACTATTGGGACTCATTTACCCGTAACAATTAAGGAATCACTCACTGAAATAAGAGTAATCTCTCTCTTTCATTTTTCAAACTCTCTCTCTCCATCAAACTCTTCCTAATCCAAGGCTTTTATAACCCCAACAAATAAACATAGTCTTCTTTTTGTTTGTCATGGTCTCTGGGGTGCAGCATCTGCTATTAGTAATATGTCATGCACAAAAACAACAATATGATCATGTATTCTTTATTAGTTACATGTGTCTGTTCTTTTCTTGTTGGGCTGATGGACATTCTTTATTCTCTTTCACGCTTTCAAAAATCTTTGTAGAAATTGATGGCTTCATTATCTTTATTATTTCATGCATTAGCACTGCGTGTTTGATTATGGTTATCTAATTTTATTTTTTTGTTATTTATATCATACGTGTCTGGATTAGCCTTATCAATTTTATTGTTATTTGACGCCTACTGGGAGATTGTCAAACGTAGTGTTATTTGACAACTGTTTTACAAGTAGTTTCTTTCTTTTTATCTTTTTTCTAATTTGAGCAAAATTACATGTAGTTGTCGGCAGTTTGAAGAGTTGACCTGTGAATGTCCATATGTACTTTTTCCTGCCAAAGAGATTTACTGTGGTCAGTATTTATCTACTTATCTATTCATATAGGCCTTATTTCCAATTATATTTTGGAGAAGTGTAGTCCAGCCAGCTTTATGAGGTGCAATCTCATTAATACGTTTATTGTGTTTATCTAGATTTTACTTTTTGTTTATGCAATTCCAATTTTTTGACGTTTATTACGGACATGCATGTTGCCTCATTTCTGAAACTATCCATTACATTTTGTTATTCTAGTGTGGTTTCCGATTGCAGTCATCTTAAATTAAGTTGATGCTAGGTTTTAGAACAGCAGGAATTTATGCTCTTAGAGCTCATGTTACCGGATTCTTTTCGTTCCTCATGTTTTTTGTGCCCAGCATAAGTGTATTAATGCATAATGAATTGTTACATAGGCCCTTGAATGGTTGGCCTGATAGGCATTATTGTTTTGAAAAAAAAATTGGAATTTGAGATGGAAGTGATATTTTTGGAAAATCATCGTGTAAGCGTTGCTTCACATTTTAAAGAAGAATTCCAACTTTGAGGGATGACCAAATGATACCCTCATTATTTAGGGTGTGTTTATTTTGACATTGGATTTTTTATTTTTTATTTACCTCCAATTGTCTCCAAACTTACCGGGACATGATTATTTTTGTCCTTTTGCTAAACCAATTGTAAAGACAAAGCAAAAAAGGCTCACCTGACTTTTGTCCTCCAATTTGTTCTCTAAATTTATGCTAAACGCACTGATTTGGTCATTTAATGTTGGCTTACGATGATTGGTTTAACAGAACTATCAAATTTTGCATGTCTTCATAAGTTTATAGATAATTGGGAAAAAGTCTGGAATCAAAATAAATGCACTCTAAATTGTTCAGGGATCATTTTTTTCATTTTTCCTTCCATGTTTAAGTGGTATATTTTCTTGCGCATAATTAATTGAACCCTTAATAAGGCTCAAGATGATTAAAACATTGGTGAATTATCAGTTTGATTTGCTGTGGGAGAGTGATATTGTAGGAGGTGCTTGATTGTTTGATGAGATATGCTATTCTTTTGAAATTTGTAATTTTATTTACGTGGAATAGAATTCTGTTTTGCATATGTATGAAGGCAAAGTTAATGTGTCACGTTATAATGTCAATTATTGAAAATTCGACTATATAATGCATATGTGGATGCTTCTCAGTGCACTTCCACAGAGTTGTAAAAGGAAAACAGTGAAAGAAAAATGATCTATTTTCCTCCTTGTTTTACACCTTAATATATAAATCTAGTTTGCTTTGACTTAGATAATAATGCCATGTAATGATGGTTATATATCTCAATAGCAGTTGCTGGTGAACCGATTCCACTTCCGGCCTTTAGGAACTTTTATGCAGGGAGGAGAGCTAGTTGATTTTTATAAGTTAAAATATATTGCTACCAATATATAGATTAAAACTTATTATAATTGAGGGATGGTTCGGGAAACAACTATAAATGATGAAGTTAAGGGAAAACAGATTTATGTAATTTATGCCTGTAAAATGACTAAAGAAGATGAATCAATAAATCTATAGATGTTACTGTTGTGGAAGGATTAAGAAGGAAAGGTGGTTAGGCCGTTAGGGTTAATGGAGAGTTATGATAGTTTAGACTTTGGATTTGGATGAATTTAAGGTAAAGGTTTGGGATGAGGCAGAAGATAGGACCCCAATGGGGTAGAAGTAAGACTTGAATGATTCAATTATGAAGAAATCTGCAGCGAATGTCATTAGAATTAGACAATGTGATGAACATAATATAGAGAGTGCAAAATAAAGCTTGAAAGAAGTCTCCAAGCCCTTGAATGGATGACAAGTGGCAGACACATGCTTTTTTTTTGGCTTTCGAGTTGGGCATGAAAATATTTCACAAATAAGAATTATGTAATTCTAACATCAGATGAGAGCTATGCAAGCATTATTGAAGGGGGGTGTGGTGGGGGTTTCATGGTTTAAGTTGCTATGGATAGGAGAGAGAAATACTTGAGTAAATCATCAGACATGATAATAAATCATGACATGAAATTATCATTCAGATAAATTGTTCTTTCATATAATTTGCATCAAAATCCCCCTAATCCCTAAGGGGCTATTTGGTTTGCTGTAAAAGGGGTGTAAAATATTCCAAATGTATGGGTTTTAGAAATATTGGTGTTTGTTTTGAAGTAAAAGGAATGCAGAGTAAAATTTTGAAGTAAAATAAATTCACCCTCTAGTTCAAATCCAATGTATTTGGAATTCCTCCAATTTGAGCAATTTCCAAATACACCAGAAACTCACTGCCATTACCACCATCGACTGCTACCTCAGCTGCCGTCGGCCATTGCCAACCATCGCCACCTTTGTCGTCCCTGGCCACTATCACCTCCGCCATCACCGGCCATCCCCGACCACCACCATCATCCCAGCCAAGCATCGCTGTCGTCTGCCACACCGCTGCCAATGTTGGACACTGACTACATTTTTGCACTTTAAATTGCATTTATTTACTTCAAACCAAACAAAAAAAAGGTAATTGCATGCATTTCTTTTACACATTCAAACAACTCCAAAGTATTACTTTTATACTACATCCCTTTTATAATGCATTTCTTTTTCAGGCAACCAACCACCCTAAATACATGCCACACTTATCTTGAAATAAAAAAATTGTTTTACGCTAATTCAAATTTCAAATAAATATCTCAAAACATGAATTATCTAAATCATTTATATCTCTCATAAGTTATGCTGCACTTGATCAATTCATGCTCTAAAAAGGCACTTGATTGCTAATTCCTCGACTTTGAGTGTACTAGTGTGATCATACTATAGATGTTGGTAGATTGCCTCCTTCAATTTTCCCTTGTGGACATATTTCTTCTTTGGAGGGATTTAATGATGGTAATCATCTAGGAGATCAAAACTAACTGGTCTGATTTCTGCATGCATTGTTTAAGAATACTCTGACCATGGATGTTCATTCCATCAAATTTTGTTTGCTAGGAGGGCCATTATGATTTCATCTTATAGCTATATTCTCAATGTTTGATGATGTAGGAATTGATGGTAGCAACATGTAGATTATTTTGGTGATGCATAAATTGATGGTTGCATTTGAACATGTAGATTATTTGGTGATGCATAGGTCCATTAGAAGATGCATTTGAAAGAAACATACAACAACAACAATACCAATAACTAGCTTTTATTCCATTGTGGGGCCAGCTATATGAATTCTTATTTTTTCATTGTGTCCTATTAAAAAGTCAAAATCTCATTTAAATCTAGGAAAGGAAAGGTCAATTTTAATATTTTTTTAACCAAGTATTTTTAGGTTTAACTCCATCTTCCATAACGTAGTTCGGATCTAATATATCTACTCTCCTTGTAGGGTCATTGAAAGGCTGACGTTTTGTGTGACTAAACCATCTTAGGCAACTCTCTCTAAACTTACTTTCCATTGAATCTAACCTTTCTCACCTGTATATGTATCTCACATTCTATCTTTAAGTGTGAAGTCACTCATCCATCTGAGCAGCCTCATATATGCAAAATTTAACTTAAATTTATGCTTCTCTCTTAATGGCCAACATTTTGCCCCATAAAGAATTGCAGGTCGCATAACAACAACAACACAACAACAATCAAGCCTTTATCCCACTATGGGGTTGATTGCATAAATCTTTTTTTCTTTCAATTGTCCTGTTAAGAGTCAAATTCTCTTTTAAATTTAATAAAAAAAAAAAGATTATTTCTAATATTTTTTCTCCAAGTCTTTTTAGGTCTACCTCTACCTTTCTTAGCATAGGTCGAATCCAAAATATCTACTCTCCTAATTGAGTCATATTGGAAGGCCAACGTTTTATGTGTCCAAACTATCTAAGAGGATTCTCTCTAATCTTATCTGCCACTTGAGCTATTCCAACCCTTTCACGTACATAATGTTTCACATTTTATCTTTAAGAGTGAATCCACTCATCCACTTTAGCATTCTCATCTCTGTAATACTTAACTTTATGCTTCTCTTTTAATGGCCAACATTATGCATTATAAAGCATCGCGGGTCTCACTACTATCTTATAGAATTTTTCTTTAAGTTTTAGGGATATTTTCTATCACAACAGGCATGATGTATTCCTCCACTTCAAACATCCAACTTGAATTCTATTAATAATATCCTCACCTATTTCACCATAACTTTGAACAATTGATCCAAGATATTTAATACATGTACTCTTATGGATGATTTGATTGCCTAAAATCACAATCCCCCACTAGATATTTTCCTACTAAAATTATACTCACATGTATTCGACTTTAGATCCACTCAAATGAAAAACTTTAGACTCTAAAACTGATCTCCTTAATTTAAGTTTTCTTTCTACTCCTGCTCTAGTCTTATCAATAGGAATAATATCATCAACAAAAAACATACACCAAGGTACATCCTCTTGTAAAATTCTAGCAAGATCATCCATGCCTAAAGCAAAAAGATATGGGCTTTAATTTGAAATAGGAAAATTCTTGGTCAAATCACCTTTTTGTTTGAACACAAGTAACAACTCCTACAAGCATATCTTTAATGACTTGAAAATAAGTATTATTAACTCCTTTCTTTTCCAGAACTCTCTAGAGCAATTCTCTTGAAACTTTATCATATGCTTTCTTTAAATCAATAAATATCATATATAGTTCCTCTTTATTCTCTTTATACTTTTCCATCAAACCTCAATAAATGTATAGCTTCCATAATAGACCTACCCTGCATGAATCCAATTTGATTTTGTTAAACCTTAGTATCACATTGTAACATATGCTCAATAACTCTCCTATAGTTTTAAAGTATGACACATCAACTTAATTCTTCTATAATTTGCACATTCTTGTGCATCACCTTTATTCTTAAAAATAGGAATAAGTACACTTCCTTTCCATTCATCTAACATCTTTTTAGTCTTCAAAATTATATTGAAAAGTTTTGTAAACTAATAAATTCCTTCATCTCAGCATTTCCACACCTCTA